TTTTAGACGGTAAAACCTTCACCTCAAATGAGGAGGTCAAAAACCTCCTCGATCAGTTTTTTACCAGCAAAGACCAAAAATTTTATGAGCGTGGAATTATGCTACTACCAGAAAGATGGCAAAAGGTGTTGGACTAGAACGGTCAATATATAATTTAATAAAGTATTTGTTTATAATACGAAAACTGTCTTTCATTTCCACAACAAAAAACGAAATGACTTTCCGAACAACCCTATATTTTAGTGGGACATTAGAAATTTACCTCGGCATTCGACTTCACCGTCTCCAACGAATCCTGGCAAACATTTGCATAGGAAGTGCGCGGGTAAATTGCAACATTCGGCATTTTGAACACACCTTGATACTATAGCGGGATCTTCACATTCGTTAATATCTAAGCGAGGGAAGAAAATTATTATTATTATTATGCGTACACTTCGGTATCGAACGAGTGATTACCTTCGCAATGGAATCCGTCTCCTTGGTAACCGGGGAAACACGTACAAGAAAAACTGCCAAGTGTGTTGGTACAGTGTGCGAAAACGTCGCAAGGACGATATTTACACTCGTTTTCATCTAGAAATTATAAAAAGGAATAACTGAATTGATCATTATAGTTATGTCTTTTGAATAGGGCATTTAGGGTTTTCAAAATGTAACGTAATTAGCGTTTAATTAACAATAATTTAAATTCTTACCCGGAACTTCACAGTTACATCCACCAAAACCATCGTTACAATGGCATTGATGGTCTAAACAAACACCATTATGGCATTCTGTTCCATCTTCTTTTTGACAGTCGTCTGAAAGTCGAAATAGACATGAATTTTTGTTGGGTTTGCCAATAAAAAAAGGATTTCAAGGAAGATTAAGAATAACTAAAAGTATAATAATTAGTAACTGTGCTAATTATTAATTGACTTCTTTTCTTGATGTGCATTTTGAAGAAATATTGTTGATTATGTTAGTAAAAATTCATAGTTAACATGGAAAACATAGATAAGTAGAGGTTTCCACTCAAAGCAGAATCAAAACCACAATTTTTTTACCACAACGTCCTTCTTTATTATATCGCTTTATACCAAGTATTATTATTATTATGTGGTATACAATCTGGCAGGAAAACAAATGTTAAAGACTTCCTTGATTTCCGAGATTCATTTCATAAAATTATCGATAATAAACAGAAAATGCATTGTGGTTGTCCTTTTCGAAGACGTGAAGGAATATAAATAAATTACTCTGATAGATTATTTTACAGTACATCTAAAACGTAAAGATACCGTAGACTTGTCTCTAACATTATTATTGCTAGATTATTTATTCTGAAAATACATATATTCGTATAAATAAATAATTTAGCTGCAGTAACTACTGTTGACGATTAGGTAGAATAACAGAAAATAGTTTGGATTGATTTAAAGTTACGAAATATCTACGTTAATTAGTTGATGTTCTTTGAATATTTCATTAAATGGCAACAAATCATCAGTCCTAAGAAATAATGATATTAATAACAAATAACAAAACTAAAAAGACGCCTTAAGATAATAGGTATATAGTAGTTAGCTAATTATATATGTATATTTCTGTTAATTTGTAAAGCATGCAAACAAATTTTAATTATAAATGATTGTCTGGTAGTTGGACACCCAAATTTTGTTGAAAAAATGTCAATTAAGTTTGAACTTACTTGTGCATTTCAGTTCTCTTCGAAGTTCATCAGAACCTCGAAAACAGTCCGGTCTTCCATCGCAAAGTTTTGATAATTCGTATAATTGTAAAACATCAGTCGATTCGTTTACTTGACAACCAAAATACCCGTCTTCTAAATTAAGGAAAAATATTTCTCGTTTTATACCAAACCCAATTCCACCGAAGGATTGGGCCGTCTGAAATAAAAGAAAAGGCAATTAGTCTCAAATATGATAATAATAGTTAAATAGGTTGATTCGTACGATAAAGGCGCTACAAGGGATCAACAGATGCAGATATTTTCCGACAATCTGGCATTTTTTTCTTTTGTTTTATTGAATTTTTATACGAAATAAAGTATTTATTTAGTTGTACTTTTGGTGTCATAAAATTCTTGTTTCCGTATGTGGATATATTAGATTCTCGCAAATCTATCTACAAGAGTAAGTCAAGAGTCATAAAAATGTGACAGTAGTAAAGACAGAATAATACATTAGCCGTTATTATTATTGTTCCTTAGAATTTTTGAGATAAAGTGATAAACACTTTAGAACGTTATGGAATTATTGTTTACGACCATTCGATGTATGCGTCAGGACTTTTTCTTTTTCACGGTAAAAGGTATTAGTGAATGTATGTATTTCCGTTTTCATATTGCTTGTGAAATAACGTGAGGTGCATCCCCAATGTACAACTTCCGTTATTAATGATTAGTCATTCTTTAACACTTCAATATTAAACAGTCTAAATATAATAAAAACGGGAACAGTTTTGTATTTTAATAGACACAAGTAGTATTTGCTACTAAAAGTAGTATTTCTACTGTTTGACAAGGCCAGACTGCCTGTGGCGTGCTGATGAGGACCATTACGATCTCCGTTTGATAAATTGTTGATCAACAACATACTGTTTCTTAAAAACTATGCTATACTTGTAGAAAAGGATAATAAACTCTGCATTAAGTATTAAACGAATAGTAATATAATGATTAAGGGATTTTTGTAATTATTATTAATTTGTTGTTTTTTTTTTTTTTTGTTTTAAATTTACTACAAATGGTTATTGTTTTACGTAGTATACGAATGGGAACTAGTTAAAGAGACTTTCTATAACAGTACCGTAGTGTTCCACAAACTGAAAACCATTTTTTCTTTTTTGGTGAAAATTGCACTATTAATTTCTTGTTTATTATGTAATAATGTACTAGGTTACAGTAACTATAGGCCAGTAGGTATAACATTTGGTAGATTTCTAGGAAAGCATAGATACATACTTAAAAATTATGTCACGTTTGTAACGTACACGTTTCTAGTAGGTAAATGAAATTAATGCATGTACACAATGGGAATAAATAGACTTACTATGAACTATTTTAACGGTTCGAATTGTAAAATGTAGATCACTTAAAATTCTAGTGAGTGCACATGGTAGGTACATATTTAAATGGATGTGACATCATATTAGTGCAAGTCAAACACATGTAAATAACTAAACAACTAAAAGGTGTTTTTAATTCAGCTTTGCTTTTGTTTGGGAATAATTTTTGGAATTGTTATATTCATAAGTATTTGGACTTAACTAAACGTACTACATATAGCTGACTGATTAAGAAAGATTCCTAAATTCCGAAACCACAAATAGTAATTCATTGGGTTAATTTTTGAGAAGAATGATTTCGTTTTAGAATATTCTTTTCAAGACGTTGACAGTACATCGCCATCTATTGATGTTTTCTACTAACTGCAATATTTTAAATGCTTATTAAGGGTCTTATGAAGGTATCTAGCTATCAGGATGGTAAAACAACTTTTGAGACACGAGAGGCTAGTTAGAAACATGTTAGAACAGGAGTAAAAAGGAGCACAGGAATACTTAGACTAGATTGCTGTACCATAAATGGCTTTTCTAAATTTGTGTCTTTAGTATTGTACAATTATTTTGTTTTGTTTATGCCAAAAAAGCATCTACTCTTTGTAGTAGGCCATTTTTCGTAGCTCCTCGAACCCCAAATTGTGTGCGATTCCAGATTAGAATTACAGGACCTTTACACATAGTAATTTTCTCCGATCTGATCATTACTTACAGTTACAATTGCAGTTATTAATTGCCAACTGACACTGCATGTACCGTATACATTGGTGAGCAGTTACGCATTACGTATACTTATTTATTTATGTATGTAATGTGTGGAATGTTAAGTCAGCTCAGCGAACTTATTTAAAATTGGAGGCGTGAATGCTTTTCTTGCAAACATGACCATTTAAGTAGATCGCGATTTAATAGAGGGCGTTGACGTACACCGGAATTATACCGTACTACTGGAGGCAGCTTGTCAACGCCTACTAAGACATGTATACGTCGTAAGGATTATTATAACGTTCAAGGATAATACCACACAGAGGTCCTTTGTCTTAGGAAGATGTAGTAAATAAGTTCATCTACGGTTCGGGCGACAAATAAGGGCAGTAATAGTAACATAACAAATATATAAGTATATATGTAAATTAGATAGATGCATGTATCTGTTATAGAAGTTATATGACTAAAATAAAAAGGATTTTGACCACATAATTCCCATTCACTCCTTGGTAAATTTGCAGATACAAAAAGCTCTAAACTATTCAGGTGAACATCTAGTTCTTTAACATTGTACCAAAGCTTCCCTCAATTTTTATGGGTTTTGTAAAGATAATTATTAAGTCATTGATAAAAAGCGAATTTAACATGCTTTCTTACTAACAATACTGAAAATTTATGAAATAGAACAGCTTTTATAAACAAAACTTCAATTCGTTATTTATATATTAAAACTGTTACACCAGTAATAGACATTTTTAAATAATTTCCGTACTGTATAATTCATAGGATAATAATGGAATTAATATGTATGTCTAATTGCAATATTGTCTATAAAAAAATTTCTAATTTTTGATTTTTAATATTGTTAACAAGAAAGGATGCTGAATTCGCCTTTTTATCTGGATAATTAGATGATTATCTTGATAAAACTCATAAACAACCACACGTTGGTATATTAAAAAATAAGTGAAAAAAATATTTTGTATAAAGTTACACGAAAATGTATCACGAAACGGCGATGAGAAATGTAAAAGAAATGAACAAAATATTTGAAACGCTCATGTTTAAGTTGTGTAGCGTTTTGCTTTATTAGAAAAGACATTTGTAAAAGAAGGNTACAGCCGGGTGCCGTTATTGCTGTTTATTAAAAAGCAGTCAGTATTCGTACTTGATTTATTATTAAATAAAATAACTTACGTGGCATGCAGAGAATATTTGGATTTCCAATAAAATTGAGATTGCAAACGCATTTGTTGGAACCCTGATCACAATGAGCCCCCACTCCACATATCACGTCCTCGCACTTTTGTTTACATCGTCCACTTACGCAGACGCTCGGTTCTGGACATGGATTTTTAGGAGAGCAGATATCTGTTGTACATTTTCCTCCTGGAAATGGATTTCCTATACTTCCTTCTAAGCATTTACAAGTCGGTCCCGAGCTTGTCACTATACATTGAGCACCATCAGCGCAGAGTACTCTGTCACAAACTAAAACAAAACAATTCTGGTTAAAATTTAGAAAAATTTACTTTCAGAAATGCTGTACATACGTGATACGCATTTTCCTCTGCTGTTCTTTTTGAATCCATCTGCACATTGACAGTGTGCGGCATGTCCTTTGGCCTCGCAATAGGATTGAGGGCCACAGTCCTTTGAGTAGCAGGGATTCACGCAAGATCCGTCGGTACACTTTAGAACGTCGGCACAATCTCTATCGGTAGCACATTCAGTTTTAGGTTGTCCAGGAAGATCTAGGATACATCCTGACTTGTATGGATCTCCCGTCATCCCGTGTGGACATATACATTTATATCCTCCCCTTTCATTTAAACAGTGAGCTGCATATGCGCAAGGTTCATCGATACATTCATCGACATCGACGCATCCTCGTGAAGCATCTGCCTTGAATCCTGGCTTGCATACACATTTTGGAGGATCGGAGGGTATACAATCTGCATTCAAACCGCAAGGATATCGTTCGCAAGGGCTGTTACATGAATTGTCGTTTGGGTCTGTGAAAAACGGCACTGGACACACGCATTCTCCTGGTTGTATACATTTTTCATTAGGGGAACAGTCACTATCCAAGGAACATTGCTTCTGGGCAGGTGAACAGATCCCCTTGTAAGGATCACCGCTGTATCCTGTGGGGCAGATGCATTTGTACGATCCAATACTGTTGATACATTCTGCTCCATAACCACACGATTTGGTCTCTGTACATTCGTTAACGTCTTCACAGGAACCGTCTGATCTAGTTCGAAAACCTTTTGGGCATGCACAATAGCTCACCCCTCCAGTTATAGTTATACATTCGGCACCGTGCGGACATTTTTCGTCTTTAGAACAGCCAGCCAATACACAATTTCCATCTACCAATTTGTAAGGTGCTTGACAACGGCATTCGGGGCTGTTACATTCTGAAATAAATTTATTTTAGAATCTTAAATGTACGCGATGAAATCAAATAATAAGACATTACCATTGCATTCTAAAAATGGATTTCCATTAAAGCCGGGTGGACATTGGCAATCGTAACTACCAGGTAAATTTTTACAAATGGCATTAGGTCCACACGTGGGTCTGTTCAGCTCGGTACATTCGTCAACGTCTCGACATCTACCTGTTTTCTCATCTCTTACAAAACCTTGTACACAAATGCATACGCTCCCACCGAGTGCTCCATCTTTTATGCATTGTTCACCAGCTGGACATGGTTTCGCTGCAGAACAACTAAACGGGTGGATAATTTTACTGCATCCTGTTCTGTAGGCATCTCCCGAAGTTCCTCCAGGACATTGACAAGTAAAACCTCCTGGTTCATTTTTACATATCGCACCAATTTGGCAAGGATTATTTTCGCATTCGTTAATGTCCACGCAACCTCGTTCCGTTTCTTTGTATCCGGATTCACACATGCATTTCGCAATCTGATTTATTAGCATACACTTTTGGTTTGGTTCGCATGACAAAAATTCGCACGGATCTAAAATAAATTAAACATTACTTAGGTGTTTTCAATGGGCCGTTGTATAAGAGGAATAATTCTTACGACGACAATCGTTTCCTGTATTTGGCTCAGGACAGACGCACTTTTGGAATTCGCAAACTGCATTACCGGGACAATCTGCTTTTGATTTACATGTGACAATTTCATTGCACCTTGTAAAGGGGTCCGGATCTGGCACCGTTCCTTCAGGACATTCGCATTTAAACGAACCTGGAATATTTTTACATACTGCTCCTTGACCACATGTGTTGGGTCGAATACATTCGTTTATATCCTGACACTTGATCAACGGATTGCCTGAAAATCCTTGTCGACAGGTACATGAAAAACTGCCAGGTGTGTTGGTACATACACTGTTAGTCCCACATCTTCCATTTGGTCCAATGTTTTTATCGCATTCATCAATATCTGGTCATTGGATTAAACTTATTAGCAAATTCATCAGGAGGATTTTATTTACAAAATAACATACCGATACAACCGGCAGAAATGTCACTGGGATTGAACGTCCAACCATCCTCACACATACAATAAGCTTCTTGACCTTCCGGTTTACAATAAGCGTGATTTCCGCATTGAACATTATCGCAGGGTGCTTTGCATTGCATCCGTGGGGGAGCGCCTACATAGCCGTTTTCACATTCGCAGTGAAAGCTCCCTAAAGTGTTGGTACATATTGCAAACTTTCCACATGGTTCTGATTCACATTCATTAACATCTACGCATACAGCACCCTGCGGTGTAAAACCTTTTTGGCAAAAACATTGATGGTCTATACATTCAGCGTTATTGGTGCAATCGTAATTCGATTCGCAAAGGACACTAACATCTCTCTAGAAGAAGACAAATTTGTATGACTTAAACCGCTTCTAAACTGTAATAAGGGTAATGTTGTACCTGTTCACAAGCGATTTTTGGTGAAGGACTGGCTTGAAATCCTTGCGGACAAATACAATTATATCCTGGTTGAGCATTCTCACAAATTGCATGTGCTCCACATGGTTTCTCTAATGCCACACATTCGTCTATATCGGTACATTTTTTGAAAGGATCGCCAGTGTAATCCTCTTTACATGTACAAGTGTAACTTCCAACTGTGTCCCTACACACAGCGTTTTCTCCGCACGGATTTGATTCGCATTCATTTATATCTGAAGAAAATTTCAAGAAATGCGACATGTTCATCGGTAACCTATATCATTAACCGAAAGAAGAAAGACTGCAAGAAACAGAACAGTGCAGACAGACAGGCCAATCATTGAAGGACATAATTTCGTAAAACCTCTGAAAGTCAGATGAGATGATGCAAAAGAAAAATAACATAAACAAAAAAGAACCACCACGTCAATCTACAAAACGTATTAAAATAATAAATAATAAGTATAATTCACAGTAGTAAAAACGATACCAGAACCTGAAAACTACAGGGATCTAGAAATTAATAAACATATCTAATAAAGTCTACTTACTACAAGTATAAGGTATAAACGATACTGAAAACAGTAGTACCTATTAAAACTGAAAACTAAGAAGGTAATTTATATACTATAGGTATGCAGTTAAGAATACATAAGTAAGTTTGGATACTGTTAATAAAGCACAGAAGCAAATTTTAGAAATTGTTAGGAAGCAGTAGTAAATATATTTCGTGCAATACATTGTCAACTAACTTTCACAAAATTGCTTCCCCTCTCCCGTAAAGCCTTCTGGACAAATGCATTTATATGTCCCGGGCATGTTAATGCATTTGGCATTAATACCGCAGGAGCCCAAGCTTCCGCACTCGTTGATATCGACACATTCTTCAGTCGCCTTTCCAGTGTATCCATCGGGACACAGACATTTGTAACTTCCGTTAGTGTTTACACATTTAGCGTTACTGGCACAAGGACTGGATTCGCATTCGTTAATATCTAATATAAGTGTGTTAATGCCTTTTTTTATCGCATCAGTAACAATAAATTAATACGTAACATTTACAACGCTGCAGTTAAATATATATAAATAAATAATTTATGGGTATATACACGCGAAACGAATTCTATGAAAGAAGAAAGACTTTCTAAAGAAAGAAAATCAGTCTTCCGCTGTAATGTTTCTTTTGCTTTGTTGTTGTTGTAAAAGTTTGTCTGATTTATATAAGAAGGAATACCTGAACAGCCAACGTGGGGATCGCCGAAAAATCCTGGAGGACATGTACACTGAAAGGAGCCGTCTAGATTGGTGCAAAGTGCGTTGTATCCGCACGGATTTTGGAGACATTCATTGACATCCCTGCAGCCGGTTATGTAAGCATCCCCATCGTATCCCGGCGGGCAACTGCACTGTTTTCCTCCTATTAGATTAGAGCAAATCGCTCCTGGGCCGCACGCTCTTTGATTTGAACACTCATCAACGTCGAAACACTACAATTTTAGAAAAATTAATAATCTTATATGCTTCTAGGAGTATACCGCATTATTTTGTACCCCAGTTCGTGGATTTCCTGTAAATCCTTCGGGACAAACGCATGTGTAATTTCCAGGATAATTTTGACAAAGTGCGTTAGCACCGCAGGCACCAGGTTGCGCGCACTCGTTTATGTCTGCAATTAATTTTATTTATTATACGATGTAATGTATTGGGTTGTTCGGAAAGTCATTTCGTTTTTTCCCGACAGAGGATTTAATTGTATTCTTTTGCATCCAACTTCACATTTAAGCCGTATAATTTTTATATGCTTTGAGAGCTCAGTTTTTGGTTGGTGCCCTTTTAAATATGGAGAGCGATAAGCAGCATTTTCGACATATCTTACTGTTTTACTACAGAAAGGGTAAAAATGCTGTTCATGCTAGAAAGAAATTGACTGATGTGTATGGAGAAGGTGTGTTGACAGTACGCCAGTGCCAGAACTGGTTCGCTAAATTTCGATCCGGCAATTTTGATGTCGAAGATGCAC